AATCTTAAACAACTCAATCAGATTCCTCCTAACTCTTCTTTTTTTCAAGAGGAAACAGTTTGAGAGATTTCAGCTTCTCCTCATATGACAACACTTCCATCCCAAGCACCATTCTAGTAACCCTTATCTGAACGCTTTCCAATGGCTCAATGTCTTTCCTAAGGTAAGGACTGGATACAATATTCCAAATGTGGCCTAACCAGTGACCTGTACAATGAAATTATAACCTCTTTAGACTTGAATTCAATATTTCTGTGGATATAACCTAAAATCCTACTTGCCCTACCACTAACAACAGCACACTGCTCAGATGGCTTTTGAGAGTGATCAACTATTACACCAAGATCCCTTACCTTCATAACATTATTAAGGTTATTTCCATCCAAATTATACTTATAATTTCAATTTGTTATAACCCGCGTGCATTATCTTGCATTTATTATAATTAAAACCCATCTGCCATTTATTTGCCCAACTCACTAAATGATCTAAATCCTTTTGTAAATCAGCAGCATCCTCTTCACAGCTAACAACACCCAAGAGTAATTTATTGGCTATTTCTTCATCTATGTCATTGATGTAAATCAAAAAGAGCAAAGGTCTTAAGACCGACCCCTGAGGTACCCCACTTGTGACATTAATCCAGTTTGACTGAACTCCATTTGTAACAACCCTCTGCTTTCTTCCATCCAGCCACACCAAATCTACACCCTTATCATCATCTACATAAGCAGTAATCTTTTCAAATAATGTTAAAAGATTTGTAAGGCAAGATTTTCCCTTAATGTGTCAATTGCTAAGAGAAGTTTGTGTCAGTTTCATAATACATACATACTCAAAATTAACGTGCTCCAGCTAGAAGGTGAGTTAGCGCTTTAACGTAACTAAACATTTGTGGTTGAACTAAACAATAGAAAGAATAAGGAATGAGTGGCAAACAAAACCATAACAAAGTTAAAGTAGAATTCGTTATCTCGCAACGTTTTTGTTTTATTAAGCACCGTATTTTGCATTAAACAAAATCATGCTTTATGAAAATAATTCATTTTGTACAGAAATCTTATTTTTCGCCATATTTGCTATCTCAAAAACCATTTTCACGTTTTATAAAACTTTATTTATAATACTGAACTTCTTCTGTTATACTGATATTTGGAATTTTATATTCATTATTTTTCATAAAAATGAGTATGTCATCGGACAGACTTCACTTTGTACTTGAATCTTAAATCCAAGATTTCCGCCAAAATTACTATCCCAGCAACCATCGCGGAAACAGTGTTCGCTTTTTCAGGCTCTGAAATATAACGCTATACGATAAATATATGTAACAGTAATATATTCATATCCGAACAGAAATCTTGGTCCAAACCGGAAAAAGGTTTGTATTTAACTGATTTTTTTTCTTATTTTATTGAAGATCAAGAGAAGTGCGATAGTTAATTTCGCATTGGACCTGTAGAATAGTAGATAAAAACAAAAAGGAATAGAATGGTAAATTTAATTTTACCTTTGCAAAATTTTGGTTAATATAAAAACAGCAAATTTAAGGCTTAACAGCTCGGTTATATTTTATTTTTCTGGCAATTATCTAACGTTGAGGTGTAACTTGTTTGTATACTATAAGTAACAATAACTTTTAAGTTTGAATAAGTAACAAAGCTTTATACTTATACTATAGTCTATAGCACGTGAAGTTTTTTACCCACAACTAAGTAACGAAGCTTAATTAAGTTCAACTTTAAATTTCAATGACGTATTAACCATTATGTTATTTACTTAGCTAATAAGTAAAAGTGCGTGTTAATTTGTTATTACTATTAGTTAATACACTGTACAGTAATATTAATAGTCTGATATTATTTGTTTTAGAAATGTAAATTGAAACCTTAATTTTGACTTTTAGTTTTAACTTTAAATTTTAGTTCTAGTTTTAATTTATGAACTTTAAATTGGGCCACTTTACGAAAGTACTAAAGTCTAAAGAGACTAATGTACATTGTAGGTTGAAACTGAAAGTTAAAGCTTCACACCAAATTATAAAGTTCTACTTCGAGCTTTTTGAAATTGTACAAATCGTATGCTGTGAGAGTTACTCGAATTGTTAGTGTTAACTAATAACAGTAAAATTAGTGTTACTTTTATCTTACAGTTGCAAATTGAGTCTTCATTTATCGAGTACCAAGTAACTATGTTGTGATTAGATAATACAAGAGAGGTCCATTTTTATTTTGAAGTTCTGAATTTCTAGTGATTCCCTGTTGTCAGTGTTGAGCATAATTAGTGAATCACAAAAAATGAACATGTAAAAGACTATGAATTAGAATATTTTACAATAAGTAATAAATAAATATTTTCCCTCCAATTAAGATTGGACAAGGAGTCAGTGTGTTGAGTTGTGACACAGGAGATCCGACATTGAAGAAACTTGATGCTGAACATGTTTTGTACTTTAAGCTGGAAGCATTATATCTATAACATTCAAAACAGTTAAGATGCAATAATGTTATCCACTTAGGTGGAAGGTGCTACTGACTTATTTGAAATGATTCAGAAAAAGGCTACTAGGATGAGTACAGAAATTGAAGGGTCATGTTAAAGAGATAGGTTAAGATCTTTGAACTTATTTTTTCTTAATAAAAGAAAAGTAAGATGTGATCTTAAGGTTATTCAAGAGATTGATAGGATAAAGGCCTGCCTCTTGATTTCTTTATACTGTAGTTTGAAAATAATGGGATGAGAGGACACATGTTTAAGATTTTAGAAAGACAGGTTAAGCTCCAGTTAAAACTTCTTTTTTTTAATGTATGTTTAGTTTATAACAGTGTTTCTGAAATGGTATGTTTTGAGCAGGTGTCCAGGGGGGGTCTTTTGTGTGTGTGTGTGTGTCTGAGAGGTGCAAATATTACCTTTGCTATGAACTATGACAAACTTTTTTTTTCATCCTTGTAGAGATAATGGGGGGTCACAGTGACCAAAGCCCAGATGCATGGCAAATCTGGCTGATTGATATCAGCAGTAGTAGAGGCTGTTACCTTGGAACAATGTAAGAGGGGTATAAATGCTTTCCCCAAAAATATGGGTTTAAATTGTTACTTTAAATGTACTCTTATTGTCCATATGTTGCTGACTAATTAATAGCATCATGGAATATTCCTTAACATAATATATAATGAGTTGTGGATGAAACTAATATAAATATAATGATAATCTCGGGCATTATCCTTGGACTTAAAAGAAAAATCGGAGATAAATACTTTAACTTTAAGAAATTTAAATTGTCAGAGAAACTTACGTAAGGAAAACCAGGTATCAGGTTAATGTAAATAGCAAATCAAAATGGGCTCATGAGAAGCCATTAGCTGATAATGTTAAAACTACTTGCAAGTATGTTTTTTTAACTTTTAATTGTATTAAAGGTAAGCAAAATGTTAAAATGGAATTGGGGCTTTAGAGGATGTAGGTGGCAAGGTTTTTATTGAAGACTATGATATGGCTTAGTTTTTAAAGGTTCTCTTCTGTTTCTATAAGAAATGATGTTAGGAATATTTTTGACTCTGAGCATTCTATGAAAAATGCTGGAATTTACCTGAACCAAGTAGATATTAGTCTGTTGATAATAAGTGAAAAGATTAAGTGATTACAAATAGAGAATGGTAGAACCAGAAAATGTTTTTCCCAGACTTTTAAGGAGATAAAAGATTAGATATACAAGCCTCTCTCTTTCATTTTTGGTATCTTTTTTTTGGGGGGGGGGAGTTGCTGATATTATTCGTATTTTTATAAAAAGGATAAAAGTTGAAATTAGTTAGTTTTCTTCTGTTATGGATAAAATTCTAGTCTTATAAAAGAAGCTTTGTAAAATCATTTAGTGTAAATATAGTCATGCCTCCCTCTTCTGTTAACGCAGCAGCTCCCAACCTTTTTCTCGTTGTCAACCCTTTGAATAGTGATCGTTTTTGCAGAGAATCTCTTTAAAGCAGTAATACATTTTGTAAAATAAAATAACTTGTTGAATTTATTGAAAATAAAAAGTTTCTGTAATACATTTTCAATAAAATATGAATCTCTTATACTGTCATCAGTTTGCAGTTAGTACCCAGTAAAACTGAAATATAATTCTTGAAACATAAGAAAAAATTGAGAACAAAACCATTTAACTAAAACTAATGTGACTTCTGAGCTTGTTTTGAAGAACACGGTGATTTAAAAGGTCGGCTCAACAGAAGAGAGATCTGATCATCAATCTAGCTCAGCATCAAGGTATTTCCTTCCATAAATGTTTTAATAAATTAGAAGGAAATTAAAATATTGGTAAGAACTGTAGAGCCAGGAAACTGAAAAAAAATGCCATTACCAAATTTTTCTCGTAAACCCCTAGAGGTTCACGAACCACAGATAGGGAAACACTGTTAACTGTTTTTGATGATGGGAAGGTATGGAGTGTAGTAGCTTATTTCATATTACACTTGGGGAATAAATAAAGACAACAGAATAGCTTGAATGCCCTGTTGTCATTAGTAAGCTTTAAAGTAATTTTGTGATATATTTATAGACAATGACTACAAGACAAAAGGGGTAATTATATATATACAAATATACAATTTCCAGTCAGGCCTCACTTAGAAAGTTGAGTATTGTTTTTAGTCTTCTTATCTAAAAAAGGATATTAAATTATTGGAAAAGGTTTATAATGAAGGGTAAGAGGTGATATAGATAAAGTTTATTGAGATGAGATGAGGATTTGATAGAAAAAAGGCTTCTAAGTTCTTGTGCTGTATTCTAAAAACAATAAGATGAGAGGACACAAGACTTATAAAAGACAGGTAGGCTCCAGTTAAGACAGTTTTAATTGTCTAACAGGTTAATTAGCTGAAGGAATAAGTTATCCTCAACAGTACTGGAGGCCAGCACCTTACGAGAGTCGAAGAGGGGAGCATATGATTTCTTCCAAAATGAGATGGTGGCTTTTACGTTTTTTTTTTCTTTTTCTTTTTTAGTGCGAGTGTGCAGGGACAGGCTCAAAAGCCCTTGTTGTCTATGTGAAATAAATGCTAGTGCTGAAGCAGATATGTACAACAGTTTAACAGGATGTGGACAGCAAGGAGCCATTCTTGGGTCTTTGAAGGCTGTCCTTGCACATCCATCCTTGAGAAAAGTAAGAATTTAAATGCATCCTTCTTTTTCAGGAAATCATCAATTATTCTTCTGAAACACCTGTGAAATGCTGACCTCTACTATTGCCAACAGCAATTTAATCCAAAAGTCAATCACCCCATTAGAAAAAAAAATTATCTTAATTGGAACCTATCTTTTCCAAATCTTAAACTTGTTCTCTCTCATCCCGTTATCCCAAACTGTTGGGCAATGAAATGAAAGGCCCTTATTGGTTTCCCACATAATTCTATAAACTTCAGTAAGATCATCTTCTATCCTTTTTTCTCAAGAAAAATTAAGTCTATAACTCAATCTTTCCATAAGATAACCCTTCCATCCCTGAAATCATCCTATTAGACCTATGATCCCTTTTCAGTAAGGTGATAACTTGTAAAATGTAATATCCAGGACAACTCTTATCTACCCCTTCATGAATAGGAGTAACATTATCATCTCTTTAATCCTCACACTCTTTCCCACTTTCTCTTGATATACCAAAAGTGAGAGTGGCTCATGCATCTAATATTTCATCTTTCTATTTACAAGTGATTAATATCTACATGATTTGGGTTGATTCCAGTATTTCCTAAGAATATTGCTGACATCTTTTCTTGTAAGAACAAAAAAGAAAATTTTAAAGTTGATTTACTTCATAATCTTCAACAAAAACCTTCTCATCGGCATCCTTTAAGGACTCTCATCCCTTTTCTAACATTTTGTTTATCTTCAGCATACTTAAAATTCATTGCTGTTAGATTTAACATAATCATCCAGCTGTTTGTCATAAGCCATTTTGTATTTTTATTAGATCCATACTTTTATTATTGTTGTAAATCTTTCATCCTATCTGTCAATTTAAGTTCCTTAAACTTACGACGTCTGTCTCTGTTTGTTTTCCATTTGTTTTTAGTAAGCTAATTGTATTTAATCTTACTTCAAAGGAAACATATAGACAGTTTCCATAGAAGCAAAGACTCCACTCCTTTTTGTGACATTTCTTTTATTATGGCTTAATACTCATAAAAAAAAAAAGTTTTTCTGTATATCAATGCTAATAATAAACATCATGAAAACAAACAAGGCAAACTTATTCTAATTTTTTTTATTTTTGTGTTGTTGTTTTTTCAGCTACTAGTGTAATGTGATAGTAACGTAGATTCATCAAAATGAGCAACAAAGAGAAGAGTTTAAACTATGTAAAATTTTCATGGGAGTTACTTCGACTGCAGTGTGAATGGGATGACTGTACTTGTGAATATGAAAAAATGACATTATTTTTAGATCACGTTAATGGACATGTAGCTACATTATCAGAAGGTAAGAAAAGATTTTATCTTATTTTACATATGTACATATCTACATATGTACATTTTTAATATTTAATTTTATTTTAACAACATAAATCATTCTTGAAAAAAATATATTGATTCATAACTATAATAAAATTTCAAATATAAAAGAAACATTTATAAAAAACTAATTTCTTTTCTAATCATTCTTTCTTTTCCAACAACACTCTATACATAAAGTACCCTTGCCTAAAAATTTTGGGTCCACCATTTGCCTTGGGGTTCCAGGGCAGAAGCCCTATCTAGACCTCTAATTAATCCACCACTGATTGTGTTAATAAATAGTTAATTATTTCACTTCCAGGGGATAACAAGAAGCCATTTGGCCCGTTTACACTTTGATTTACCTTTACTACCATTTTCTTATATCCAACCCTGATCTTTAAAATTCTTATCCAGTCTTCTCTTCAACTTTCAACAAAGCTAACACATCTGAAGACAAACTCTTTCATAGGTTAACCTCTATCAGAAAAGTAAGACTGCCTTAACTGGAATTGTGAGTGAGTGAGTTCTCCACATCTTAAACTAGTATTCTTGTAGACGTTCTACCTATGTTTACAGTTTTTTATCAGGTTTTATAAACTGGTATTCTTGTAGACGTTCTACCTATGTTTACAGTTTTTTATCAGGTTTTATAAACTGGTATTCTTGTAGACATTCTACCTATGTTTACAGTTTTTTATCAGGTTTTATAGATTCCAAATGGTTAACAGTGTTTAACTACTTAATCTTAAGAGCAGCTAAATCAACTACTTAAACATCTGTTTGATAATGTGGTCTATGAGTCTGAAGATTGAACCAATAAGCATGTTTTGCCTTCTCTCCCCTCCCTTTTTTTGTCAGGGTCTTTTAACTCGAACATTATCAATTTTCATGCTGTGTTTCTCTTATATAACCCTTTTATTCTCATAATCAGTTTGAAAAATTTCTTACTACTGTTCATTTAAACATCTCTCAACAAGGTCATTTATACCCAAGTTTATAACAGCAACCAAAATCTCATTATCAAGTATAATTGATTGATTGTCTACTTTTGAGACAATTTAAATTTCCATGTAGAAGTTCCAGTGTGATTAAAATTCAGATTTTTTTTTATCCTTTGCATCTGATATTCTCTTTTTTCTAGATAAAATTAAACATTCTCATTGTATTCATTAACATTTACAGCTTTCCCAAACACGTTAGTCCCTATTTCTCACTTTATTTAAGTGCAGACCATCTCTGACACACAGTTCTTATCCTTAAAACTACCTTACAGATTTAACCAGTGGCCAGATTTCTTCCAAGAATCATGTCTAATCTGTATGTCCTGTTGTAATATTAATGCTCACCTGTGATTAGAATAACTAAATGTTTTGTTTTTTAATTTTTGAGTAAGTCTTTTTAACTAACAACAGTTTTAATATGATCATTTGTACCAACACTGAAGTACCTCTTCTTTAGTATCTATCACTAAAGTATCTTCTCCACATCATCGTACATGTTATAAAAATTGTAATTTACTACTTGCAAGGAAGTTAGTTTGTCAGTTGCTGTGTTGCCATGTGAGATTGTGTCGCCAATTATCACCAAAAAGTCCTTTTTTGTCTTTTGTACATCGGGCTGTTAATTTTTGTTCATATATGGAATATTTGAACTAAATTTAAGCTATGTAGAGATTGATAGATGATATAAATCTAATATCGTAAATAGGGTTTATAACAAATATTGTAATAAATAATGCATATTTAAATGTATCAAGTTACAGGCAACCAAAAGTGGACAATCAAAGAATATGTTTGCTACATGTTCCTCGTAGTCAACAAAAATAAATAATGTTTATAGGAAAAATGTGTATTGTCAATAACCTTTACACTTCAGTTAATGTTAGTTACAATTGTTAATAGATTGAAAGATAAAATTAACTAAAAGATAAATGTATAATACATATATTTTTCATTTAGCCATGTTTTAAACTATACTGGGCAAACCATTAAATATTTTAATCTTAGAATAAGAGAACATAAAAGTGCAGTTGATAATTAAGAACGCTGAAATTGGCCTTGATTAAACATGGCAAATTCTTCACGTCATTGATTGAAAGTGTGAGATTACTTATATGGGTAAATTAAAAAAAACAAATTAAATCAAAGAGAACCTTTAGAAATTATTGAAAACAGAATGATGAGTAAGAATAGAGAGTTGGGTCCTGGTGCCATAAAAGTGAATTTCTGGAATTCAATTTTGTAAACGGTACCACTGTATAATATGTTAGATATAATATAGATCATGTTAGCCACCAGAACGTTTAGAGCATGTTTCTTTTAACTCTGTATACACAAAATTATTGTGCATGTGCATACATTGGTGTTGTAATTTTGTTTTATTTTTGTTCAAAGTATGCACTAGTGCTATCAGTCTCATGTAGTATCTATACTTTAAATAATGTTGTATGTGAGTGAAATCAAATTGTAGATATCAAGGGCTTTAAAACCTGATGAAAAAAATATGTAAAAATAGTCTTATTTTGAGAAAGTTATTGATATATTTTAAGTTAATAGCACCATTTTCCTCCATGTGGCAGGCTTTGTTGCCTTTTTTATTGCATTGAAAAGTGAGGCATTTATTTCACATTATTATTATTTGGAATGTAACTGAACTTCTTTTTAATTCAGTTATTTATTATTATAACTTAAATAATAATATGACCCAGTATCATAACTGTAAACACAACGTAATTTATAGATTTTATATATGTAAGGCAAAACATCTTGTATTTAGAATAATAATAGTGCATGTATATATTCGTGTAATGTGAATATTTCTCGCATTTTGATGTAGGGTGTACCTGCTATAATTAACTTCACAAAATAACTGTCAAAGACTAAAGGAACTTAAATTTTCAAAATGGAGTTTGCTTTTTTTCTTTATCCTCCCCTTGTTTTGTTCTGTTTTTAATAATTTTATTTTTGATCCGTTGATATTTTTTATAATTGTCAAACAAACAATATTCTCAGAATTGTGGGAAACAAAATATTAATTTACTCAGATTTTTTATGTTATAAAATATGAAAAATGTAGAATTTTATTTAGTCATGTTTTTTATTTAAAACAATTTTTAGTGCAGATAGTTTGAAATATAAGATAACGTTACTGATTGAAATATTGTGTAATTTATATATTTTTTATCTTAGATTCTGTACAATGCTGTTGGAGAGATTGTAAAGTAGTGACTTCTAGTACTGACGAACTCAGAAGACATGTGTTCTTTCATGCTTTTCACACCAAAATCAAGTGTTTTGGGCAAAACTTCATTAATCGTAAAAAGCTTCCGTCTTGCACCTTAGATCATTTAAGCCGAAATGCCATTCCAGAGTTGCCAAACAGCTTGAATTGTTGCTGGGGAAATTGTGAGGTAATTTTAAAATTCTTATTAGTGTAATTTGAATATTTAATTCTTTCAGTTATCTTGCTTGCATGCACACATCTCTATATAATATAGTAAGTTCAGTATAAAATATTGAGCTTTTGCCTGGCTCACTTTCAAAAGGAGGAAGTGTTTTCAATCAGATGTCATTGGTTGCCTATCAGCAGTAATGGATCTTGAAACTGTGTTCAGTTGAGTCCCATTTGTGCTCTTCTGAACTTTTGTCAAAAACGTGTAATTTCCTTAAAGCTTCAAATTTGAATCGAACCAAGATGTTTGATGTGATTGTAATTCAGTTTAGGTTTTACGACAGAGAAATTTCGAATCAAAATAGAATAGAATTATTAGGCTTGTTTTTTACAAAGAGTAAAACAAAAAAGAATAGTGACTGTTTTATTTTAGATCCATACAGTTTCGACTGTTTTGTTTTTTGTCAGAAATATCATGAAGTTATCCACTTTTCATAGTTAAAATTTAAACAACTTAATATTTATGTTAGTAGTAATTACTCTTATGCTGAACAAAAATGGAATAATTTTATGAAAATGTGATAAATGTTCATTTCAGAATGTTTATGAGAGCCCAGAATGTTTCTATCGTCACGTTGAAGAACATGCAGAAGAATATCCCAGAGGAAATAATCCAAAAGATCCTGTTAAATGTAAATGGCAAGGTAAGTTCAATGATAGTAATTTAACCCATCATTTTACTGCTTTTATCTCTCAGGTTCAAGAATATTACTGCTTTGCAGGGCTTGAAATTAACACTGGGAAATTACTGGTTAGTGTTAGCTACTACAACTTGGAAGCCACAAAAAGGAAAATTTACAGATTCTTATTGTCAAGTAATAATACTTCCATGAATACATGCATTTTGTTAATCTACATTGCAAGAATTTGAGTAAGAAGGTTACTATAACTGCAGTGGTGTAGTGAGATGGTTGCAGGGAGGACCTTTGACACCAGGCATTGGGTTCAGGTGTGCCAAATTAACAACCAGTTTACCCAGACGTTAGCTGTTTTCATAAGACTAAGGATCATTGTCTTTCAAAGACCAGATAATCATAACAATGAGGTGAGATACAGTACCATGGTAAGTTTGGCGTATTATGTAAGGTTAGAAGCTAGAAATTAAGAGTGTAAAGGGTGGGTGGGGTTAAAAGAATTTTTTTGGGGGAGGGTGCCAAATTATGTTTTGCCCCTGGATGTCAGACACTGACTATGCCACTGTATAATTGAGATTAACAACAAGATTGTCGCACTTCCTGTAAATCACATATACTGCAAATATCTTTTCCCACATTCTTAATTTGCCCATTATTAACACAAATGTTAGGCCTATTGGCTTCTAATGCTTTGATATTTAGAACAAGCGTTTTATGTTGTTAACTTACATGGACCAAAGCTTCAACATTTGAATGTGCACATTTTAGTACTAACACTTACTACAGTTAATAGAAAAGAAGAAAAATGCCATCTAAGTTTAATGTGAAAACATTTTTTAAGTTGAAATGGAATCAAAAATTGGAAGTAGAGATTGAAAGGCATTATTGTATTTACTATAATGTAACATGACACCCAGTATAAACATAAAATGACATTGATAAAACTATTTGCTGGTAGGCCTTACCAGCACTAAAATTCTTACCAGTTTACCATGTAAGACTGTAACATCGTACTTTCGTCCCTTAGTATAGGATGGCTATCAGCAGTGTGTTGCTATAGGCTTTGTCAATCCAAGCACTCTTGGTCTAGTATAGTGTCCACACAAATTAGTCAACTTTTTAACTTTTGTGAAACAGCTAGAAACACTGTTACATGTAATTGAAATGAATTTTGCTATTAAAAAAAACATGATGGAATATTTATACATATAAATAAGATGTATCTATAATCATTAACATTTAATTTTAGGCAGGAAACAGTTTGTTGTTTTTATTAGTAATCCCAAATTTGCTAGTGGGGAAAAAAAGTAAATTAGCCATTTGTTTGTGCCTTCAAAAGTTGAGGTGAAGGCTTGCTTTGTAATTTTTTTAGAAGTAAATGAAAATTCTTTGGATATATATTAAATAGTAAGTCCGAACTACTTTCCATAAAATTATTTTATGTTTGACCCTTAGCACCAAACATTAAACAACAATTTTTATTTCTTTCTATATATAAAAAATGCTTCCAACCTTATGATTGTGGGTTACAGTTAATTTTATGTAAATTCCATTTCTGTCAATAGATTAGTGTACCTGTAATACTTCTTAGAAATATATTTGTAGGCTGTTAGTTGTTGTTGTTATTTTTGTAGTACTCTAATATACTAAATAATATGTAAATTTATTTTGAAGCTGTAATCATTACCAAACAAATGATCAAACTGTAATTTGATATGTGTGTGTGTGGCATTTAGGCTAACACACTATTTTTTATATTCATTGTAAGACCTATCCAGTATTAATTTACATTATGTGTTTGTAAGCTTCTTTGTCTGCAGATTCCTTCCACAATATTGGAGCTATTGAGTACAAATTTGGCAAGTGGACTTGAGGATCTCCCTGGTGTCCTTATCTATATATATTAGCCTCCTACTCTTGTTTATTAGGGATACCAAGGGAAGCTAAAACATGACCAGGTAGTCATCCAGGCATGATAGTAGTCTGGGAGTAGATTTGTAGAATTGCTGAACTCTAAGCTGACATTGAAGTTTATGGTCCTGCCCTCCTCTCCCTCTCAGGATCTTGGGAGCACCATTTTGAAACGTTATTCCTACCCCTCTTTCACAAACTTGGCACACATACTCCAAGCAGACATCCATACAGAATTTCTGGGGAATATGGACACCTCCCCCCCTCCTCCTCCCTTGGAGTAGCTTTTGGGTTATTAAGTGGGGCTGAAACTTGCCCAGAAGGTCACATTGGCATGATGGGAGTTAGGAGTAGGTTTTCAGAATTGTTGAAATCTAATCTGGCATTAGGTTTTATGTTACTGACTCCTTTTTGGGATCACAGGGAATTCCATTTTTGGAACTGTGTCGATACTCTAACTCAGAAGCTAGCAAAGTCAAACATGGCACATGTGCCGTAGTACCACAGGTAGATGTCTTAACCCTTTCCAGATGGGTCAAAGGTCATGTTATCTCATTTGTTGGCTCGCATTCAAAATTTTATTGAACTACTATTTCATAAATTTATATCAATAAGTTTGGTATCAAACTGTAGATTATAATTCAGATTTTAGCATTATACATTATTCAGTTTCTTAATTTAAAAGTAAATATTAAAGAACAGTTAAACATCAATTTGTGTGTGTCACATGGTATGTTGAATGCAGCACTGGTTCAAATTATATGTTTGTGATGTCAAAAATATTAAGCCTATAGTTTCGTAAGAATTAAGAACTCAAATTATTGATATTGACAAGCTATAATGTAAAATAAGAACCTCATATCTTTTCTATTTGCTGAGATATCGCTCGTACTGAATCAAGCACAGTGGCCCCACTCACCTCTTTCCATTTTTGGAAACGGTTCCTTGTATACACCTACTTCAAAATATGACGTGAATAACCAACCAAAAGCTCAGAATGTCACCCTAGTGGCTTTCTCAGCCATTTTTTAGTGTTAGGATGCCATCTCGTTTTTTCAAATCAAGATTTGAAGGAGGTGGGTTGTGTCTATAGTCTGCTTGAAATTTCATATTTTTTTAGACCAAAATACAGCTTAGTTACTAAGCTTGATAAATTATAGTGGAATTCTGTGGAATCGATATAGTAACTTATGATTTTTTGTTGTTCAACTGTATATATATATATATA